GACGTCGGGCGACGCGCTGCCCGCGGCTGCGCCCAGGGAATTGCATGCGCCAGTTTTCGCGTGGATTTTTTTTTTTAAATTATTTTTTTCTCCTCAAACCCAACGCGGCGTTGGACCTCTCCCTGCTTGCTAGGCGGGCAGACGTGCAGGCCTGTTGTCGCGAGGAACGGATCACGATTTCTACAAACGCGCGCCTTAGTTGAAGTAATTTCGCCTTTTTTTTTTTTCCCTTTTCTTTATTTTTTGGAACTTAATAGAGTCAAAGATTGTTTGCGAAATACCTCCTTGTGGAGCACTCTGAACTTCTGGCTGGTAATTAGTGAAACAAATCAGGGCTCAGTTCCCAGCCTGAAAGTCATAATTTTTATGGAGTAGTTCAATTAGCAATTTGAAACTGCAATTCTTAATTAAATTAATTGCAGAAGGAAATTCAAGTTTGAAAATGTCGGTAAGGGAGGTCATGGGTGCGTTCGTGTTTGGAGGCGCTAAAGGAGTACACCTACCGACCCTGAGGAACGCGCTTTATCAAAAAGCCGGTAGAAAGCGATGGGGCTGGAAACGAGCCCAAGCAGCCAGCTCCTGCTGGGCAAAGCCCCGAGGATCAGACGCGGGAGCCCCGACCTCCTGCTGCAGCTGAACTGTAAGCAGCACGCTCCCCCCGCTCCCCGGGACGTTGATCTCTGCCAGGAAACTCGTTTCGGCGCTGGAGCGCGTGAAGGGCTCGGCAGAGACCTGGCTCACGTTCCCTGTGTCGCAGAGGAGCCGAATTACACCAGGGAAGAGCAACCGGCATTTTGCAATGCAAAAACCATTCGTTATAGGAGAGTCCTTTTCGGGGCGTGTTACCCGCACACGGGAATACGTCTCCCTTTCCAAGGTGCAGCGACAGGAGGGCAGCTGTTTCGAACCAACACGCGCCACACAAGCTATAAATGGGAAAGACCATCTTCAACAGATTTTTCCAGAGCCTGTCACAGGAGACAACGCACGGTACCACGTAACTCAGTGGAGCTTCAGACCCGCGTTGCCTGGGAGCAACACGATGATGATGGCACAAAGTGCTTGAGACAGAGAAGTCATGGAGCTCTTAATACTTGCTTATACTTTAAATCATTTTCGTTTGTAACAGCTGTGGTCTATTATTTATTCCGAAGCAGCTTTCCGGTCAGAAGAACATTGCCTTCCCAATATCTATCCAACATCGACTTGCAGTCTGCACTTCATTATTAATTTCCCCTTATCTCCTCACCTAATTGTTCCCTAATGAGCTTGTGCAGCGAATGGGGCATTTCAAACCATCACCGGAGAGGAGCATTGCTTTCTCCTAGCCCGTATTTCGGGAGTTGTCAGCCGTCCGCGGGAGCGTTGCACTGACGTCGGCTGTCACTTTGAGGCTGACATTTTAATGCAGGAAGTACAGCTGCGCCGGTTTAACAGCGCTGCTTCCTTCGCGGCATTATTTTGACAACTGAATACTCCGCTTGTGTCTCCTCGGCGTGTTTTACATTCCTCCTAGATCTCCCTGCTTGAAGTGTTAATATTTTCATGCCATTCATCTCTCTTCCAGTGGGAACTTATGATAAGCTTTGGAAATGGCTTATATGCACGTCCTTCTGATTATAGTAGCCTTCTGATTATAGAGCCACTCCTCTCATAGGCAAAATCGTGGCATTAAGATCACTATAAAATCATGTCTTAGGAACATTTCAGATATTTATAAGCCTTCACTTGGGCTGAAATGTAACTGACCTAGTAAAGAATATCCTTTTCACAAAATTTGTTGAATTATTTAAGTTTATGGGATACTGAGTCCGGGTAGCAGCTCTGCCAGTACCAGATACAGGGGCAGCACAGCCACGGGCTATCACCACGGTCTAGAGCACACTCGCTGTTTTGGACAGTAACTTACTGTGGCAGCCTGTGCATGGACTATCATCTCACATGATCCATATGTCTTAAGAGAGTTTTTGCTTCCTGGGACAGAAGATGGCATCGGGCAAGTGGGACTGCCTGCTTGGCTCTTACCCAGGAAGCCGACCCATATCAACAACCTTTTTTTTTTTAAAAAAAACAAGAAGAGCTGGTATTTGTCCCATCTGCCAACTTTAGTGCTTAATCTTTCTTACTTAATCAACGTTAGTGCTTAAAATCTTAAGTTTTCTCATAGCTTACCAAGAAAAACAGATTTGACAGCGGCGGGGCACGCGCTGGTGTTTACCCAGGCTGCCCGCGCGGGAAGCCTGGTCTAACAAGAGCAGACTTTCCCAGGGGAACCCGACGGCCCCCCGACCTCCCTCCGCCTTGGGACACAGACGCAAGGAGAAGTTCAGCCTTGCTGTTGCTGTTTCAGTCGCTCTTCTTTCAGGCCTGACAATGGGTCAAAAGTGGAGGGAAAATTAAAAAAAAAACGATCGAAAGCCTCCCCTGCCAGGAGCGCCGTGCTGCAAGCAGCAGCTCCGCGTTTCAGCCCCCGCCTTGGCCGCAGCGCGCCTTGCCGCTGTTGCACGGTGGTGGCAACGGAGCGCAAAACCAGCTCGTGGTTTTTTAGTGAGTAACCGCACGCACGGAGTTGGAAAGAAGAAGAGACGATGCAAGCACTGACGGGAGGAGGTGCCAGGGCCACCGACGCCGTGCCAGCCCCGTCCCCGCGGCCCGCCACGAGATTAACAGTGATCTCATACTTCCCCCCTCCACGCTGTAACTTGGTTTTTAGAATGGCCACGCTCTACTTTCTACTACATTTTACCCTACAATTTAAGCATATTAATATCAGAACTCAGCTTAACCACCTAGTGCCATAAAAGAACTTGCAAATGTGGGATTTCTCAGCGAAATATCACCAC